GATGGGGGGAAGGGGGTGGGGCGCGCGCAGCGCGCCGTGCTAAAGACACGAGCAACTTACATGTTTATGATTTATACGTACACATTACAATAACAGAGATTGAAGCTGTAGGAATATTCCTTGTGTTTAGTAGTTACGGAAATCGTAATACGTGATCATAAGACTTCAAGACATGTATATGATTCGTAAAATTATGCTTTATTTAATCAACTTTGTATGCATATAACTTTTTAACTAACTACGAGCGACGGCTAAAACCTCTTGAAGGTTACTCAGGGCGATGACCTTGACAACATATGTCAAGGTCAAGGTCTTCGGAGCTGACTCCCCTAAAGTGAACATTTACCGGATGTTTTTGTGAAAACGTTAAGTTTGACATTTGGAGGCGTCCTCCAACGCGAATTAAGCCGCCTTCATCCAAGAACGGATTCAAGGTCGCGAATTTACCTTTGGACATCGAATGCTTGGCTTGAAGAAGTTTTATTTCGTCAGCGAATTCTGATGTTTGAATGACCTTTAATACGCGACCTTCAGCTTCATCAATTTCCCTCGCGCACAATGACCCGGCGTATTTGTTAGCGGGACGCCATCGGAAACAGTAGGCAACAATTCTACATAACTTCGAATATGAAGAATATTTTTTAAGTATATCGAGATCCTTAAAGGCCGTCATCAAGCAAGTGTTCCCTTTTAATTCGGGTATGTCAATCATTTGAGTATCGGTGCCGGGCCACTCATTCTCGTTTCTGATTAACCACGAAGGTCCGGTATGCCATATTTTATTTTGCAAAAAGGCGTGCGGTAGTTGACCCCTTCGGCCGGATTGTCTTCCGATCTAATATGTCGCCACTCAATCGACTTGGTTAACTCTTGTACTTCGACGACACGATTCGCCACGTAAGTTTTAAGTCGATGAGGCGACGTTTTCAACCAATGCATTACAATGGTTGAATCGTACCAAAAAATCGTTCTATCGGGCACGAAATTTAGCGCGTGACTAACTTCGCGATGTAACCTTGCTAACAATAATGCGCCGCAAAGTTCGAGGCGCGGTATAGTAACAGGTTTTACCGGTGCGACTCTTGACTTGGCACATAACAATTTACTGATAATACCGCTGCCTCTTCCCGTCGATCGAATATACAGACACGCTCCGTATCCGACTTCGCTCGCGTCGCAAAATCCGTGTATCTCAATGTTCTTTCGATTCTCTACTAATAATTTTCGATCAAATGAAACCTGGTGCAGTGAACCTAATTGTCGGGTGAATTCCGACCATTCTGTGTGGATACTCTGCGGAACAGATTCATCCCAATGCGTTCCGCATTTCCAAACGTCCTGTATTAGTCGTTTAGCATGTAACACCACTGGACCTAATAATCCCAGCGGATCGAAAATTTTAGCAATGCTCGATAAGATATTCCGTTTTGTTAACGGTTCTGAATTTTCAATCGAATGTACTGCGATACATAGACTATCGTTACGCGTGTCCCACGACACCCCCAATGCTTGTAAAGAACAATCGCTATTAAACGTCAAGTTCGCGTGTAACGCGTTGTCGGCTAGATCCTCAATCACTCGCGTGTCATTAGACGCCCACTGTCGAATGGTAAAACCACCCCGCGCTAACAATGCGGTTATTTCATCCCTAATCATTCGAGCGTCTTTGATAGTTTCCGCACCAGTTAATAAATCATCTACGTATACATGATTCTTAAGAATTTCGGCCGCTCTGGGGAACTCTTGTCGCTCATCGTCCGCCAGTTGGTTTAAAGTGCGAATGGCGAGGAATGGTGAAGAAGCAACGCCGAATGTGAGCGTATTTAATTGAAACGTCACTATCTTGTCATCCTTCCGCCATAGAATTCGCTGATATCGCCGATCGTCTTCATGCAAGAGCACTTGACGATACATTTTTTCGATATCACATAATTA